TGGGTCGAGTTCCCCCGCGCGTCTCTGAAGCCCCTGATGGCCATCGACTACCGCGTGGTAATGGCAGGGCACAGCCTGGACCCCTCTGGCTGTGCCTGGGGGGTGGTACCCGGTGCTGAGCAGGATAAAACCATCGCCCAGCAGCCTCAAGAAGGTGGTTACCATCACCCATCTCCCTTACTCGCAAACCCAGGGTCCTCTCCCACCCCAAATGCAGTCCAGGGAACCTCCTATGCCCAGTGGAACCCACACAGGGGAACACCCTCCCTAGGAGCCACCTTTCAGGGATGGGTTGGCTCACCTTGCTGCTTCTCTGTCTCCATCATACTCAGCCATGGGGTGATGTGGGGGGAGCAGGCAGGCTCACCCCTGCCTTTCTCTCCCTCAGGTTGCCCTGCAATGCCTCTGGAGCATCAAGATCGTGGTGTTGGTGAAGCCTGAGCACGAGCGGCGCATCAGCCACGTCCACACCTCCAGTGTGAAAACCGGGATTGCCAACACGCTGGGTAGGCATGAGGCAGAGGGGATGCCCCAGAGCAAAGGGGCAGCCTGGGGGCCATCCCAGGATCTCCAGGCCCCCCCAGAGCTCAGTGCCCAGCACATCCCTACAGGGAACAAGGGAGCTGTGGGTGTCTCCTTCCTTTTCAATGGTACCTCCTTTGGCTTCGTCAACTGCCACCTGGCCTCCGGCAGTGAGAAGACCCACAGGTGATAGAGGGGCTGAGGGGAACGGGGCTGCCCTGGGGCACACAGGTGTCTCAGGGGGCAGGAGGAGCCCCTGGGGGCTGTGGGGCTGCCCTTGTCCCCCTTCTGTCCCCACCTGGCAGGGTCAGGATGAGGTGACCCAGGGAGGTTCATGCCATGCTGCCATCTCCACTGCAGGCGTAACCAGAACTACAGTGACATCCTGCGTTCCCTGGTCCTGGGTGACAAGCGGCTGAGTACCTTCGACCTCACCCTGCGCTTCACCCACCTCTTCTGGTTTGGGGACCTCAACTACCGCCTCGACATGGATGTGCAGGTGGGAGCCTGCAGGCATCACGGCTGGGGACGGTGGCACTCTAGGGTGAGAGGAGCAGGGTCTCACCATACCATCTTCCTCCGGCACAGGACATCCTTGCCCACATAACCAAGAAGGAGTTTGAAGCCCTCCTGGCTGTCGACCAGCTCAACCTGGAGCGAGAGAAGAACAAAGTGTTCCTGCGATTCAGTGAGTGCGGGGGCAAGGGCACTGCTCTTCCCACCAAAATAGTGGCACCCAGGGTCCCTGCAGTACCAAAATGCTGGGGAACATTAATGTGCACCACCCAAGCCTCCCAGGGCAAATCCCTGGGCTCTGTGTCCCAAAAGCACACGAGCATGGGGACAGTCAGAGTGGCTGGGGGTGCCAGCCATCGGTGTGAGGCCCGGATGGAGACCATGACACCCCATGGGGATTCTCTGGCCAGTTGCAGCTGTGGGGACAGGCAGGGATCCTGACCCTTTGTCACCTCTGAGTCTTGGTTCCCAGGTGAGGGTGACATCTCCTTCCCGCCCACGTACCGATATGAGCGGGGCTCCCGGGACACCTACATGTGGCAGAAGTTCAAGCCCACGGGGGTGAGTTTGTGGAGCCTCCTGCTGAGCTGCAGGACATCACTGGGGGACAGGGACAGCAGGCTCAAATGGTGCTGGTAGGGGGCTGTGTGGGGGTGCATGACCCCCATGCCTCTGCCAGGCTGTTCCCTCCCCAAGGAGGGTCCGGGCAGGAGGGAACTCACTTTGTGGACTGCTTTTCTGGGGGAGTTCAGACCCAAGGAGGCACTGAAGCTGGCTGTTCCCCCCATTTTTAGGTGAGGATCAATGTCCCCTCCTGGTGTGACCGCATCCTGTGGAAGTCACACCCAGAGACCCACGTGGCCTGTAACTCCTATGGTGAGTGAGACCCCAGGTCTGGGGGGATTCCAGGATGGCCAACACTGCCCAGGACCACAGGGCTTGAGGACCATCACCCAACTGCCCCCTCCCACCATCCAGGGTGCACTGATGACATCGTGACCAGTGACCACTCGCCCGTCTTCGCCACCTTTGAGGTGGGAGTGACGTCGCAGTTCGTGCCCAAGAAGGGTAAGGGGTTGGGGTCTGTCACCCCCTGTGCCCAGCTTGGGGTGACCCCTGGCCACAGATGCTTGACTGGTGCCTGCCCACAGCTCCTGGATCTGACCCCAAGGCCCTGGCCTGCATCGAGTGGGAGAGCATCGAGGTGATCGTGAAAACCGCCAGCCGCAGCAAGTGCTACATTGAGTTTCACTCCTACTGCCTGGAGGGTGAGGTGGCCCCGCAGCAGGCCAGGATTGTACCATGGGGATGAGCTGGCCCTGGCTGGAGCTGTGCCCCCTCTTTCCTTTCCCCGGCAGAGGCTCAGCGAAGTGGAGAAAACACCTCCCAGAGCTGCGACATCCCTGGCTTCCTCAAGTTGGGCTGGTCTGCCAAGAATCTGCCCATGGTAAGCAGCTGGGGGGCACAGACCCCCAGCTCCTGAGCATCCTCCTCCCTCCTTTTCCCCATCCTTCCCTCTGGCTCTGTACCTTGAGCCCAAGGGGTGCCAGGGGTTGTCACTGTCACCACCCCAGAACACAGCGACTCCTGTGCCACCCTACTCCACAGCAGCTCCCCCCAAGCACTCTTCTCTCCACATGCAGCTGAACCCCATCCTGCCAGACCTGGAGTACCTGGGGGACCAACACCTTCTTCTCAGCATCAAGGGTGTGGAGAGCTGCGAGTCCTATGGTGAGTGCAGGACGATGTAAAGCTTTGCAGCTGAAGCTTGGCAGAAAGGACCCTGGCACCCACCTCACTCTGGGGTGCAGCTGCATACGATGGGGCTAACACAGGTGTGTGGTCTGCCTGCAGGTGAGTGCTGCATCGCGATGAGGTCGATGATTGGCAGCATGGCCCAGCAGTTCGAGACCTTCCTCTTCCACCGTGGCGAAGAGACAGGCTCCATTCGTGGCTGGATGAAGGTCCGGGTCCCCAAGGACAGGCGCAGCACCCGCGAGAGGCTCTATGGTAAAGGCCGTGCACCAGTCCCCTCCCATCACCCTGGGCATGGGTCTCATGGTCAGGGCCAAGAGCTGCCCGTGCCTGTGCTGCCCTCCTGGACCCCAGCTGTGGGCAGGGGCTGTGCAGTGCTCAGTGGGTAAAGGCCAGACTTTGGTGCCTTTGCAGAGTGGATCAGCTTTGAGGAGGAGGATGCCGAGCCAGTGACAGGCACCCCGACACGCCCCAAGACACCTCTGCAGCACCTCAGGTACCACAGCTGGGTTCAGCCTCGCCGTGAGCTCTGGTGGAGGGGTGATGCTGAGCCCTCTCCCACTGTGCTTTGCAGGAGCCGGCCCCGCAGCCTCCCAGAGCCAGCCTCCAGCTACACCAACCCAGCCTACTTCATCTTTGAGGGGGTCCCCAATTCGTGGGCTCCAGCCCCTAGCACTGGCGAAGCCCACAACAAGCAGGCAGAGAGCCCGGCTGGGGGTCAGCGGCAGCGGAGCCCCCTTTGGACACAGGCCCCTTCACCCTCAGAGGAGGAGTGGTGGGGCAGCCAGCCCTGCTATGTGCCAGGGAGGTCGTCCCCTGGGTACCCACTCAGCCCCCCCAGAGTGGACCGGCAGAGGAGACCCAAATCGGCTGTGCTGGCGAGGGACAGCGCAGGGCTGGGCGACTGCTCATTGACAGTACTGCACATGGCCACCTACCTGAGCCAGCTGGACCAGGTGTGTCCAGAGCGCAGAGGGGACAGCCAGAAGACCCTGCTGCGCCAGACCCACAGCGCCCTGGAGCCGCCCCCACGGCGCTGCCAGGAGGTGCCAAGGTGCACGCAAAATGCTCACCAGAGGGACCTGTTGGAGACTGGGATGCTCAGTCCGACCCATCCCCGACTCATCCACGGCAAGCTTGGTGAGGGCACCGCGGTGAGCCTGCCACAGAGACCCAACCTTGGGGTGCAGCGCCTTGATCACCTATCCCCACCCTAGCACCCACAAGTGCTCTTCTCCTCTGTGGAGCACAGAGAGCTGTCAAGGAGGACTGGGCAGACTGGCACCCAGGCATGGACCTACAGGCCATGCTCCCAACTTGTCTGGACTCACCAGCAAGTGACTCAGTTGGAAAGGCTCAGAAAGCTCCTTCAGAAGCTCCTCAGAAGGACCATGCGGGGCCTCACCAGCAAGGAGATATGGGAAACATGGGAGGCGTTGAGCCCGCGTGGCAAAGTGGGGACTACTGGCTTGCTTTGGACCTCGAAGCTCAGCCCCTTCGGGCAACGGACTTGCAGCCCCACATACCCTTGTGCCTTCTCAGGCTGCCATGCTGTTTCCTTATGAGATACCCCTTGCTATTTCTCTCCAGAATAAAGTCTCAGGGACACTGGGGTGCATGTGTCCAATGCCTGGTTCTGTGCAGCGGCAACAAGGGAGGGTGCCAAGCTGAGTTGAGTCAAGCCAAGTGGGGAGAGCACTGGCTCCCGGTGCCCCGGCTGCCCCCACCTTCAAACCTGCAAACCCCAACTCAGTGTCCCATGGGGCTCCTGCACTCAGCGGGTACTTGTGTTGGCACGGTTCCCCTCTGACCATGCCAGCTCTGCCCACTCACCCCTGCATGTCTGGGATGCCCTGTGCTCTATGTGGCTGAGCATCCCTGGGCTGTCCCTGCACCAGTCACCCAGCCCCTCATGCCTCTGCTCCCCCCGAACAGACCTGCTCTCGGTCATAGTCCCTTGCATCTTGGGGTGCACTCGCTCACCCCCAGCATGCCCTGTTCATCGCAAAGGTGACATGTTTGCACAGCACTCACCTGCATGCTTGCAAAGGAGTTAAATCCCCCGGAGCAGGCCCAGCGCTGCAGGCAACGAGGACACACATTCCTCGCAAAACACTGCAACTCCCTGACTCGGCAGAGTCCCAACTGCTGCAACACCCAAGGTGGCCCTGGTTTTGGGGACACTATGCACAGGCTGGCCTCAAGGTGGCAGTGGCCACCTTTGTCCCCAGGATTGCCCCGCAGGGCTGGGGTACCGGCAGAGCAGCACCCTGAGGTGCAGGCACTGCCAGGACCTACGTAGTCCCAGCAGAGCAGGGCGGCTGCCCTGGGGTGGGTGAGGGGCCATGTTCTCTATGGATGAGGGGCCATGTTCCCTATGGATGAGGGGCTATGCCCCCCATGGTGGAGGAATCATGGTCCCCATAGCCAAAGGTCCTTGGCCCCCATGGGGAAAGGGTTGTGACCTCATGTATGAGGGTCACACGTCCCACAGCTGGGGGTCCGCAGACGGCCCAAAGCCTGTGAGGGTGATGGACAGGATGAGACAGGAGCGCACTGGGGCTGAGCCCTAAGGGCAGGCAGGGACATGGGCAGGGAAGTGGGCAGGGACACCTCTGCCCGCCTCCAGCCCTGCCTCTCCCTGGCACTTTGCTCCCGGCCGTGGGAGAGCAGGAGCGGGCACACTTGGTACGGCACGGCACGGCACGGCGAAGGGCAGCCTGCAGCCCCTCCAGCATGGCCCCCAGCCCCACGGGGGACAGCCGCTTCCCAGGGGTGCCCTGCTCCTGAGAGCCACCCCAGCCCAAGACCACAGGTGAGCCAGGACAGCCCATGCTTGGTGGAGAGCAGCAGCTGGGACGGCCTCGCCACAGCCATGCAAACCCAGCCAGGCTCTGAGTAGCAGCTTTGGCCCCTCAAGGGATAAAGGGGGGATCTCCACGGCTGGATGGGTGTGGGGTGGGGTTCAGCCAGTTGCCCTATCCCTTCGCCATCCCCAAATCCCTCCGTGCATCCTTCTTCCTAACATGCCACTGCCTTCCTCCATCACCAAGGACCTTCATCCTTTCCAGTGTGGCTGACTCCTCTTCTTCATCTTCCTCTCCATCCCCTAAATTGCTGTCTCCTCTCAGGGCAAAGCTGCCCTCGGACTGCCGGGGCTTAGCCCAATGCTGTGGGCTCCTGCCCTTCCCTGGGGGGGCAGAGGGACAGGGACAGCCCACCCGAGGGTGAAAGGAAACCCTCACTTCCCAACCTTCTGAGAAATTGGGTCATCTCAGAGCAGCAGACGTGGTGGGAAGCACCCAACCCCATTGGTGTCCCCAGGGAGGAGGCACCGGTGCCCAGGTAGCGCAGGCAGATTGCGCTTTGGCTGCTCTTGCAGGCCAAGGGAAGGATTGAAAAGAAATCAGGTCATGCTCCTCTTGTGCCAGGGCTTTGGCTGCGTGAACCACGTGGCGATTAGGGACAAGGGTCCTTCTACAGGATGTTTTGCATAATTCTCCCTTGTTTTGCAATTTCCGAGAGCTTAGGCGAGAAGAAAAGCCCTGTTTTTCCCATGCTCCAGCAGGAGCCGGACCCAGGCTCACCCAGTCCTGCATTCCTCAGCAGCTGCTCGCTCCTCTCAAAAATCCACTCTCCTGTACCATCTCCAAAGCTCTTGCCCTACATGCCACCATCCCTGACCCACTGCCCTGTCAGGACTTACTTTGGCTCTGGAGCAGAACCTGCCTTTGACACTGCTCCACTCATTCATTTCATGGGTGCATTTCCAACACCCCCATAAATGCCCAGGGAAGGAAAACTCAGCCAACTCCTGGGGCACCGCAGGCTGGGGGTACCCTGGGATGGGTGCAGTCACCGGCTCCCACAGGGGCAAAGGATGGGTTCAGACTGGGCACAGCTGCAGTGCAGGGAGCCAGGGCAGAGATCCCGCTCCTGCAGCAAAGGGCCAAGGGCAGCATGTGCCCTGCAACGCGTGGCCCTGTAGCCAGCCCTTGCCCCTTTCTGCTGATGGATGCGACCCCTCACTGCTTCCCAGGGGGATGCAATCGCCATGGCCACCAGCAAGGGGTTTTCCCAGCACCACAGCCCTCGTGCATCCATGAGCCAAGCAGGGCAGGAGCAGGCATCACCTCCCAGCTCCATGTCCTTTCCCTCTCATCTCCTGCTCTGGCAGCGAGCCTGAACTCTTGGCTCAGACCTCACCACGTCTGTGGTCTGTCCCTCCTTGAAAAGCCCCCGCTGGAGAGGCTGCAGCCAGGGAAAGCATTGTTGGTCACATCAGCAAGGAGTAGGAATGGGCCTGGTGGTGACTTGTCCTCAGGGCGGGCTGATGTGAATCAGTAATTCAAACCACTGATTTTGATCGTGACTAAGATGAGGAAGCAGGAAACCTGTTGAGATAAAACTTGCCAAATGTCATCTTCAGCATTTTTATTTTTTGGTGGTTATCCTCAGAGGAAGCTTGCTTAGTAATGATTAAATCACACCGCAGAGCAATGACCGTGCTCAGGCTTTATCAGCTGGCAGAAGCCATGTACCTGTGCTCTCCTCCAAGCAGCCTGGCACCATGCAGCTGCTGGGCTCCTTTTCTTTATGTGTGTCTTATACCAGATTATTATTTTTTATTTATTGTCTTCTTCATATCTTAGTTGTTGGTTGACCTAGGTTACAAGCATTGGCTTTGGTCACTGAACTCCTGCGGCACCTCTGGTCTTGTTTGGTTTATTCTTCATGCTCACTTGCACTCAGAGGTTAGAAGAGGAAAACCCATATTCTGCTCTCTGGTGTCCTCGGCAGCACCACATCTTGGGGACACGCAGCCACAGGGGTAGGACCAGCACAACCAGCACAGTGCCTCATGGGACCACCACTGGCACCAGCGCCTGGAGGCTCAGGATTTCCTCCCAACTGATTTTCCCTCCTGGTTCTGGGAGAACAGAGCCAGTTCTTCCCACTGTTAATGTTTGATCAGGACCTGCCTGTTGCTCTCTGAACTCATCTCTGTAATAAAGCCAGGCAGTCGCCCGTGGTGGCCATGGTGGGAAGGAAGCTGCAGGGTGTTTGATGCGAGCCCAAAGCTGTGGCTCAGCCCACAACTCAAACAGACAGCGTGGAGGTGCGTACACCATGGAGGGGCCAATCCCGCAGCCACTCGCCTACCCATCTGCCTGCTGATTCATTTACGATCATCTCTGTAAACCCAGGGATGTCTCTGCAGGTGAGGCTCTGCAGGGAGAAGATGGATACACCCTATGGGATATTCCTGCCACAGTTTTGCCACAAGAAGCCGTCAGGCTGCACATCTCCATGGTGAAGGCAAGGGCTGAACAGAAGAGGATGATGAGGGAGCCAAGGGATGAAGGAACCTGAGAGGACAGAGTCTTCTGCCTCGTACCACCAACTCCAGCATCCTGCTAACACACACCTTCTCCCTGAACCCTTAGTCCTCCTCCATACCTGCATCCATTGCCTCCTGGGTGAGCTCTGGACCAACAGAAACTGGAGACATGCCAGCACTCCCTCCATCAGATTCAGTTTTGGCTACACCCTCATCTCAGCACAACAGATGCTTCTGCTCCCAGATTACTCACTGGAGCATCAGTCCTCGCCAGCAGGAGCAGCTGCTCTGAAATCACTTCACCAGGGATGGTGGTGGACATGGAGGGGCCTTTGCCAGTCCTTTTCTGGACACCATGATGGTGGCAGAAGCTCCCACTTCCCTCTGGAGGAGCAGGCTCCAAACTTCAGACATCCTGGAAGGTGAAAGCAACCCTTTGACAGCTCGCTCTTGCACCTCAGTCTCAGGAACTGATTTACCAGGAGGAAGCAGATCCCAGCCTTTGATCGTAACCACGTGTGAAGGGAAACGTCCTGCCTGCCTTGTGAACTTGCACTGTCTCAGGCTGGGACTTGGCTCCGGCACAGCTCCTCTCCACAGGGCTTAGATCATCCCTCTCCTATGGAGAATACTCGGCAGCTGGAGGCCCCTCACTGTCCAGGGACGTTCTCTCCCAAAGGCTCCTTTAACAGCCCCCAAGGGTTTCTCCCGGCCATAATATTCCCCCAGACAAGGCTTTCTTCTCCTCCTGCCTTTCTTCTGTCAAGGAGCCCTCTGGGACAAGCAGAATTGTCAGGATGGTGCCAATTAGGCTGAGTCAGCTTCCAAGAGGCTGTGCTGGCACCGGCCAAGGGCTGCTGTTGCTTATAAAGGTCT